TTTTTTATGCATTCTTTAAGTTAGTGGATTTTAGGCACCTTGATTCAAAAATTGTTGCAGTATAATGCACCATTTGGGCTAACTTGAGGGTACAAACAGATGATCACAATGAGAGTTTTAGTCATATATAGATAGATATCCTGCAGCCATGAGCAGAAACTACAGTGTAAACTGTAACAGCTGTGAAGCAAGGTAAAAAGCATGACATTCAGAAAGACAGCTGTGTTAACTCTATTCAGATGTAACAATAAACTATTATTCTGAGTTACATTAAACAGGCCAACACATTCCTGAACTTGTATGCTCTTTCATTCACACAAGTATTTTTCTCTTATGACCAGAATTCAAAAGATTTAATTATAGTTATATGCTTTGTTCTTTATATCAATCAAGGATCTTTTAATAATATCAAGGATGACTTTTAAAACAAATCAACTTCAAACCATGGTTTATGAAGCTGGGGTTTTTTTTTTTACAAACGTCTTCACAGTACTATATGCTGTATAGAATTAGGACAATTTGCAGTAAACTAAAAGCAGAAACAACAGCTTTCTTCTCTTGGCTATGCAGGAGGCAGAAAAGGGAATGCAGTAACTTGAAAATTACAATGGGTAATTTCCAGTTTAGTCTGCGCCCAGCATACTCCAAGTCAGTCCCTATATTCACATCAGAACAACCACCATTCAGCTAGCAAAAATATTGCTTTATGTTTATTTATTAAACACCAGGAAGAAAAAAACACCAAACATTTAACTGGCAAAAATAGTATGGGCAGGCAAAAGCAGGGAGAGAGAGAGAAACACAAACAACAGTAAAGAATTTACATTATCTACAGTGTATATCTATCTAATCTATATCACAAATCACAGAACTTTCCTGAGCCATTGGAAACAGCAGGTGATTAACATGGACACATAACAGAGCAGAAGAGAGATGCAAAGTAAGATACCAGATTACCCTCCTCTATTCTACACCAAGAAGGAAATAATTTGGTAGATCAGGATGCTGTATCCAGCAATAATCTGGGAAGAAACAAGGCTTGGTCATGCAACACTAAAACCATGGTTTAGTAATAGTTTGAACAGGACAGTCTTTTGTAGCCAAAAAAAAAAAGCCCCTGTATTTTTCTTGAAGCATAAATTGTTATGCACCATATCTCAGCCTATTCTAAATTACTATTTCAGTTTATAAGTAAAGGATTCTATTTTGGGTGGTCTTCCCATGTCAAAGTACTCTACAACTAATAAACTAGCTAACAGATTAGGTAAATAGGTTGTTGTAACCAATGTTTTCCTACATTAAATTTCACCTTGCAAAAGTTTTTGTTTCTTCAGGAGAACACTTGTTCCTTCCAAAGAAGGTCCCAAATGCCTTGCAAATTGAAATAAGCAAAAATACAATCTCCACCGTAGACCTGAACTAGTACAATCCACTGTAATTTCTCATTATATCTCCTTCTTTTGTTGGGCATATAGAGAAAACCACAGCATATGAGTATCAAAAGACAGATAATTATTTTCAGTAGTTGGGAAAGTATCCCCAGTCATGACTAACCCTATTTTAAAACAATCTAATACACAATTTACATGTAATTGTAGTGCTGTTTAATTTACATACACCCATATAGAGTCTACAGCTTAAAATAAACAACTGGATAGGCCAGATGGAACCGTTAACTCCAGCACATAGTATTCTCTTCCTCAGTTCCATTATAGATAAAATAATCAACAGGAAACAGTACCCAATATAATCCTTTTTCCATTGTATCACTTCAAATTATAAGCAAGGGGTTGCATTTCTAAATGCTTCAACAGTTTTTGTTTCATTATCTGTTTTTTAAACTGAATGTAGAAAATTACCATACCAGGACAAAAGTGAAGAAAAAATTCTCCTGACACACCAATTTGTTGTATGAAAAGAGATATTATAGTGGGAATCTTTTAACCATAATACCCCTCACCTACATTCTGAAATGGTAGAACCCAGAACTCACTGAACCACAGATTGTGTACAAATAGTCCCCGTTTAGCAACCTGGTCATTAAGTGAAGTGGTTGCTAAGTGAAACCACGACTGTACTTAAGATCTTACTTCAGCTTTCCTTTGCTCTACAGACCTGCAAAGGTCATAAAGGTGAGGACCGGTCCTCGCATAAAATTACTTTTTCATCACCACTGTAACTGCGAACAGTTGCTGTATGAAACAGGCGCTAAATGAGGCCTACCTGTATCTCTGAGCTGTTTCACAGAGAGGTGGTATGGCCGGACAAGCAAATCATCCAAAGCAAATACATCTATATTCCTGTAAACCCCAAAATGATCTGGCACATAGCTGGCCATGCTTGATTGCAGCATATGAATGTTCACTTTGTGGTTGCTTTGTTAAGTACTCATTAAGCTACTCCAAAGTAAATTATGGTGGGGAAGAAACCACACCACTGTTATCATTAATCACTATTTCACTAATATATGTCCTTTTCTCCAATTTGCTCAGAGAGCACTGCAAGTTATAACATGGCTTATTCATTTTGGCTTAGTGTCCTAAGCTATGTTTTAGCACATGTGTGAAGCCAGTCATTATGGCTTAATCAACAAACCATGGTTAAAACAAAGCATGTTTAGCAGAATATGAGAATTTAAAAAGATAGGCAGTAACCACACTAACGACACACACTCTTAAATTCTTAAAGGAGTAGCCATTCTGGCATAAAATGGCTTTTTAGTAACAGATGGAAAGACCTGACTAGACTATCAAGATTCAATAGCATCTTCATAAATAATGAATAATCCTGTAGCACTAGAAAGGCATGAGAATTATCACATAAGCTTACAGTTTCCCTAAATATATTACCTACCTTAATGTTTTAACGGAAAATCATGAAAATTGATCTGTCCATATAAATTTGTGATGTAATGACTGGCCAATGGCATCAAAAGAGCAGAAATGTGAGTCTCCATTCCAGGCTGAATCAAATACTTTATCCACAAAACACTGTTTTTTTTCATTGCATTGTTCTGGAATATACCAACTTACCTCATAAATAGCCAGATCAATGCCAGCATATGGAATTATTCCCAAAATATTGGGAATATAACCTTTGTAAAAGGCTTTCACCCCTTCCATTTTTAAAATCTTCTTAGCACAGTCAAACATCCCAAAATACTGTCCTGTTTTACCCACTGCCAGTCTTGTTTTTAATACCTAAAGAAATACATGAGCACAAGAAGTTCAGAAAACAATACAATTAAATATTATATTCCAAATCAGTCTTTAACATACATCCAGAATAAGACAGTCTTATTTACAGATGTGAGAGTTAACATATGAAAAAATGAGTTCAAAAACAAATTTATGGCCCAAGCAAGACTTAAGGATATGTAGATCAGTCTAGAGCCGGATCATTTCTTTTCACATCAATTAATTCTGGCAGATGTCTCTATCATTGTAAATTTTTAAATAAGAAAAAGTACATTAGTCTGTAGAAATAGTTTATGTATAGTTTTTGTGCACAACTTGGGAGATGTGAATTAGATGAGGTCTTTTAAACATACAGGCCATAGTTCCCTGACATTTCTCAGGAAGAGTGAGTCACTGTGGGCAACTCTAATTCAGATGGAGCATCTAATAATTCCATTGTTGGCTTAAAACATCTGGTAACTAATAAAGACATCTGAGTCTGTGATGTTTTAAATGGGAAGAGAAATTTAACTAGGACCTTTCCACATGCAAAATGTGTGCTTGATTTGTGATCTTCCCAAAGCAGCAAGTTTCAAAACAGAACTCTCCTTAGTTAAATGATTTTTAGGGAAAATATGGTTTAATATCAGATTATTATCCTGACTTTCTGAAAGAAAGAAGACAAAAATAGGGCATAGTTAAAAGCAGATAATATTATCCAAGACCTACCTCCATGGGATAAATAGATGTCTGTGCAGTTGCTCCAGCCAGAGAACCAGATATAAATCGTTCTATAGTTCCTATTTTTCCCTCTTCATTAACAAACATTTTCTTATACTGAGTATTAACAAAATACAAAAAAAAGCACAATATTAATTCTAGACCTACAAACTACTAACAATGATTCTGCCCTGGCAGGACACAAGCTCTGTATATGTGCATTTCAAAGCAAGCTATTTACTTAGTAGGTTCCTGCACCACATGATCAGCTCAAGGCTGCCCCAACAGTTACTCCATCAACACATCCATATTGATATAAATATCTATGATGGGGTTATCTTTCACTTTCAAAATTGAATGAGCATATTCCCATGATGACATTAACTATGAATCAAACAAAGGATATGGAGCGTAGCTTTCTCTAACCTGCTCCACCATTACTGAATTCCTCTCACTTGGATATCTTTCTAGCTCTCAAAGAGTGAAGACAGATATATCTTTTTAGCAGTGAGATATAATTTTTTATCACTCACATAATTTTGTTTCTATTTGTTTTTCCTATTTGTTTATTTTCATGGTGGTTTTTTGTTTTATTATTAATGTGAGAGTTTTCTAGTCATTGGCCACCATAGCCTACTGAGAATACTACTACTACCTGAGGATGTCCTCAGTAAAGGCAATTCTGTGTCCAAGGATGAGTTCTGAAAATAAGGGCTTTGCATATTTGCAGCAAAACTTAGCTACAACTGGCACTGGTGCCTTCAATGGGATTACTGTCTCCAGGACGATTTTCTAGTTTAATAAATTTCTCCTTTTCTACTTTAAAGTTGCTTTATAAGGAGAAAAAAAGAAGCAAAAAAAAAAAAAAAGACTG